CATGCTTATTAGCTACAGAAGCATTAGTTTCTTCAAATGAACAGTACGTACACCCACCGCATATGCCCTTAGCACCATTGCCCGTTCCTCAAAGTTGCGTGTGAAGCTTGGTGGTACCATAGGAGTAGATTCAGTTCCCACTAGTTTTTAATTTCCTGGTAGAAACATTTTTCCTAAGCTAGGCCAAAAATATATACCAAATGAAGAGATAGCAAATAGTTCTTTAGAAAATTTAGACATAGAAGATTTTGAATCAAAAAACTTAGAAGATGTTGAATTAGAAAAAAAAATATGACTCTTGGAGTATAGAAGAATTCCAACAAATTGTTAACCTAGAATTAATTTTCGCAAAAATATGAAAACTAAAGAAAAAACTAGTATACAAGAGAACAAAAAATGATTTAGATGAAATAATAAGATTATCTGAAACAACAGAAATTTTAAGAAAACAGCCCATGAAATACTGGGAAATAAATAAAGTTTTAGCTAGTTTAGATATAAAAAATAAAGATTATAGGATTACATCAGTACAAATAGATCATATGCTAGCAGATATAGAAGAATTTAGAACACAGATTAAAGAATTATTAGATTTAGGAGTAATTCAACCTAGTAATAGCCCACATAGGAGCGCCGCATTTATGGTTAGAAACCATGTAGAGATAAAAAGAGGGAAATCTAGAATGGTTATAAATTATAAAAGATTAAATGACAATACAGAAGATGATAAATATAATACACCATATAAAGATCAGCTCATAAACAGAATATAGATGACTAAAATATTCAGTAAATTTGATTGTAAGTCAGGGTTTTGGCAAATCAAAATAGAAAAGGAAAACATACCTTGGATAGCCTTTTGTTGCCCACAAGGATATTATGAATGGCTAGTCATGCCTTTTGGACTAAAAAATGCACCCTTCATATTTCAGCGCAAGACGGATAGTATATTTAATAAATATAGTTTTATACTGGTATATATAGATGACATATTAGTATTTAGCCCAGATAAAAATAGTCACATAGATCATTTATATATAGTGTTAGAAGAATTTATAAAATAATAATTAGTAAGAAAAAAATGGTATTAAATAAACTTCATATAGAATTTTTAGGAATGGAATTAGGAGATGGAAAAATCAGGTTACAACCCCACATAGTTAAGAAAATTTTAGATTACCCGGATAAATTAGAAGATACAAAACAACTTCAATCATTTTTAGGAATTTTAAATTATGCATGAATGTACATTCCTAACCTTAGTAAAATAATAGGACCTCTATATAGCAAAACCACACCCACAGGAAAAAAAATATTTTAACCAACAAGATATAGCTTTAGTAAGAAAAATTAAAGACATTTGTAGAAATTTACCCGACCTACAACTTCCCTTAGAATCGAAATATATAGTTGTAGAAACGGATGCAAGCCAATTAGGATGGGGAATAGTATTATTAGCTAAACCTAGCAAGTATGATAGTAAAAATAAAGAGCGCATTTATAGATAGAGTTCTGGAAAATTTAAAGAAAAAGATACAATCATGACCTACTTAGATTTTGAAATATTAGGAATAGTATATGCAATAAACAAATTTAGACTATTTTTACACAAGCCCTTTACAATTAGAACAGACTGTGAAGTTATAGTTAGATTTTATAATAAACTTAATGAGCATAAACTTAGTAGTAGAAGATGGACAAAATTTTTCGATTGTATAGTAGGACAAGGATATAAAGTAGAATTTGAACATATTAAAGGGAGTGATAATAACTTAACAGATTGGCTAAGTAGGAAAATTTATTTAGAAAAAGAAAATAACCAGTTTAAATTTTGTGCAGATAATGGAGAATAGCAAAACAATGAACCTTGGGGGATTTGTTCTTCCCATTTATGAAGGCAGAAACAAATTCAAACCATTAACAGGAATCGAGCTAGACCCAGTTCAACAGTGTCTTTTAGATAACATGTGGAACAACCTTAACCACCCAGCTGAACGTTTGTCAGCTTTAAATTCTCTCAGTATATATTTTTCAAAAATCTAGAATAAACCTCTGTCTAAAAGTTTTTCTTTCTATGTAGTAGCTAAAGGGACCAAGCTTGGCATTTACCATGACTGGGTAGAAGTTGAACCTTTAGTTAAAAATTTTCTCGTATCTCAGTTTAAAGGATTTTATGATTTCGAGTCAGCCAGTACCTATGCCCGCAGACAAATAGGAACCAGTTACTTTATCATTCCAATAGCAAAAGATTATCCGGACACATTGAGCAAGATGCAGTCAATTATTTTTGCTACTAGTGGAGTTCCAGTTAGCTAGATAACAGGAATTAGTAGTATTAACCTTAGCTAGATTCTCAAAATCCTCTCCAAATGTGCAGACATTGTGAAGGCTTTACTAGAAATTTCAAGAAAATTATAGATAAAGGCAAAAAGGTCAGTGAAGAGCTAGACCAGCTCCGAGACGAGGAAAAACAATTGAGAGCAACTATTCGAACCTTAACTAACCAACTTAAAAAACTAACTCCAGAAAAAGCACCTATTCCTTTTCCTGACCTAGAAATCAGACAACTTACCAGTGAGGAATTTGACCAATTGAGTTCTAGAATGTATTTCTTCAGGCATTCTATCATTCAATCTTTTTGTGAGAAAAGATGAGAAATAGAAGACCTTAAACCCTATATATACACCTTAGCCGAAGATAGCAGAAATAATGAATTAGTCACTATGCAGCAATTTCTTCAAGACCTCTCCATAGCAGGAGTTCAATGCCCTGGTATGGCATATCAATGGACTTATCTCTACGATGATGAAGAACAATCCTATTTACAAGAAGAAAGATGTATAAACAAGCCAAAATATTTTGGAAGATGTCAGTGTAATCTGGAATTCAGCATCTGCCTTTGCCAGATAAATCTAGCAACTTTTGAGCTACTGGAGATAGAGATTAGGGACAAAACGCGTCATCTAACAGCCTCACAATTGTTAGATTACGGCTTTGTTTCTAGAATAATTTTTTCAGATCCAGATCAGACAGATAGTTTTGGAAATAAACTTGCTCATTCAGTACTTTGTGTAATGGAAGAGTATCATCCTTTTGTAGAAGTATTAATTGATAGCAAGCTACCAGAATGGAAAGGGAAAAGGTGCATTCCAGCTAAGTATAAAATGTACCTCAGAAGAACTTCGACATTTCCAAGATACCTAGGACTTCTCAATTAGGGACCCTGGCCATGCAGAAAATTTTCACTCAGAGATCAGCTCAATAAATTGAGGAAATTTGCTAGTAATCCTCTATTAGCATATAATGGAAGCTATGGTAATCTCATTTGCGAAGATAGAAATCAGAAGATATACTGTAACTTAGCCATTCTAGGTTTTCCCTTTAGTAAAGAAACATTTGTCGATGAAAGCCGGTACCCCAACTATCAACATAGTATCTCTCATGATTCCCCGTAATGGAAGAAGAAGGTAACCAATGGGAGAATGAATCAGATAATGGGGACGATTTTTATGATCAACTCTCAGCAACAGATCTTTAAGATCTTTTAGATAGAATTTATGGGAGGGGGAAAAAAAATGCACTCTATAATTAGACTCTTTAAAGTATTAGTCACAAAGTCCATATTTCATTTACTATTTTGGACTTTTAGGATTTACACCTTTTTGACTCTTTGAATTTATATATATATATATATATTTTGTATCCACGGAAGATTAGCTTTGAAAATTCACTCCATCATCCAAGTATCCATATGTCCACATCAATTATTGGCATCAAGATACTCAGAAGAAAAAGACAAAATCTATACAAGATAAGGCCTCTCTTCAACGATCAACAAAATTCACGCCAAAAAACGGCAACAGTTATTGTAATTATTTGTGTCTGTAATTATTTACATCTGTCAGTAGTAAGGCTTCTCCTTCACTCACTACTTTAATAGAGCAGATGACCCCTACCCTGCTCTATTAAAGAAAAGTTGTGAGAATTCTTACATGTGTTTTGTAACAAATTATAGTGTCAAAATTTTATCAAAATAAGAGGATTGAATGATGTGCAATGGGGCCCAAAATAGTATCCGACATTATTATCCTAACCCTTTATTGATAAAAATTTTATTGTCCGTATCTAAAGTAATAGGAAGTTGGTCGTAAAATGTGTCAAAGTCTATATATTTATTATGTAGAAATTTTGTAAAGCCTATAACTAGGCTTTTATACTTTTTGTTCAAAAATTAGACGTAAGGATAAGTCTTTAGTTTTTGTTTGTATCTATCAAATATAGTTGTATAAATTGACATTCATATAGAGCAATGAAAAAAATTTTCCTCTACTCTTCATTGTAAAAATTTCTCTAACTTTTCACTCTCAAAAAATTCTAAATGGCCAAGTCTTTCAGAATTTTAAAATTTATAACATAATCTAAGTATATTAGATAAAATTTATAACATAATCTAAGTATATTAGATATTAATATGAGGCGTGAGTAATCTTCTTTCTCTTTCACACTGTGTTTGGATTGAGTGATTTGGAGAGAAAAGAAAAGAAATAGAGAGAAATGTATTTCTCTTCCTTGTTTGGTTATCTTAAGTGGAGAGAAATGGGGAGAAATAGAGAGAAATGGAGAGAAACTCATTTCTCTCATAACCCTTATTTTCAATCTTCCCAAAAGTGGAGAGATTGGGAGAGAAAAGAAATCCACAAATGTTTATATTTTCATAATACCAATTTTACCCCTATAAAAATAAAAGAAATAAAATGATTGAAAATATAAAAAGGTTATTTTGGTAATATAACATAAAATAATTTCTTTTTTTTTCTTTTCTCTTAATGAAATCTAACCAAACAAGAAGGAGAGAAATCAAAATCATTTCTTTTCTTTTATTTCTTACTTATTCAAACAAAAAGAAGAAAAATACAATCATTTCTTTTCTTTTCTTTTCTCTTATTACTTAAGTAATCATCTCTTTTCTTTTCTTTTCTAAGTTACCAAACATAGCGTCAAAGGGTAATTTTTCTGTTTTATTAGCTTCGATCGGTGTTCAGCTTCAATCCGGATCAATCCTTGTTCGGCCTCATACCAGAATTGATTTTCACCTCATATCAGAATTGATCTTTGTACTGATCTTCAGCTTCAATCGACCTTCACCTTTCAGAATCGATCAATCTCTGTACTGAACCCAACCAGACTGAATCGATCGATCGATCGATCTCTGTACTGAACCCAACCAGACCTTCACCTTTAAGAATCGATCGACCTCATACCAGACTCCTCTTGCCCTAACTTGTCAACTATGTTCTCTCCTCCTCTTGCCCTAACTTGTCACGATCGATCTCATATTCATGGCTCCAATCCGAAGGTAAATCAATGATTTTCATGGCTACTGAGATCTTCATCTTCACACACAATTTTTTGAGATTTTCTATCATTTTTTTAGCTTCGCACAAACACAAACACACACATATATATACACATATTCTGAGATCTTCAATCATTTATTCTTCGTCTTCTTCAATTTTTTTGCAGATATATATAAGTTTGAGACAAATTTTTTGCAGCTCTACAATCTGATTTTATGAAATTTAGAGCTGGAAGTATCTACAACTCATGCAGGTTTATAGAAGGTACTTACATTGATCAACTGAGACAAATTCATTCGAACAATAAGCAATGTGTTTTCAATCTCTCTCTCTCTCTCTCTCTTCACATACATATACATGTACATATCTATATATGTACTCCTTTGTATTTATCTGTATTCATTCAAATTGCTTTTGATAGTTACTTGTTTAATACTCATTTGACAATAAAAAACATAAAAATAAAAAACTGTGGGCTTGTTGGCCTCTCATATGTAGTCAATTGTTTAATCACATAAAATATTTTCTGAATGTTACTGGCTTATGTTCATTCAAATATTTTCAGATAATTTCTTTTTCCTATTTGTGATGCAAGATTATTCCTTAACAAACTTCTGTAATTGAGTTTTTCTAATGTGTCATTTTCATTTGATAAAATGGCTAACCTACTAAATCTTTCTTGTGACATAGTTGAGGTGGCACAAAGATAAACGCGTAGAGGAGATAAATGCCCTACTTGCAAGGAGCCTAGTTACAAATTTCATAAAAGTAAAGGTAAAAAGACACATCCCATGAGCCTATGAATAGACGGTGATACATCCCATAGGACAACTCCTCCGGTAATTGCCTCTTGTGATATAATCACCAAAGTAATGGATGATCATGTGAAAAAGTCTTGGGACTTAGGCATGTGTGATATGCCAATGTGCCTAGTGCCCTTTCAGGTGGTGCAGTAAACATCGGACTCGTTGATTACACGTGGACGTGCAAGTTACCAACACTGCCTTTGTGTTCAGAATTATTATCTATTCAGACCACCTTAGTTTTAGTTTGCATAACTTTTCAAGTTTGCACATACTAATCCCCTGCATATGGATGTGTTCCAGAGTGTTGCTTGGTATGAAGCAGAAGTGGTTGCGATGACAGTCGCGCTACTTGAAGGTAAAGAAAAAGCTTCCGGAGGCCAGATATGTGGAAACATGACATCTGCAGGAACTGGAATTATAATATGTGGAAACATGACATCTGTTAGCAGTGAAATCGTCACGTGACTTTATGAAAGCTGAAAAAGGAATTACAATGCCAGAAATGTACGTTAATTTTTGGTTAGGTGCCTTTTGTTTTGCCGCTAATTTATTTATGATCTGATATTCAATTGTATAAATGATTTTCTTTCTAAGCATAGGATAATACCTGAATCTGCGCACTCAGCATATGACAAAGAAGCACAATATTTCAAAATCAAGTTGCGGCGTGTCCCCGTAAACAATGAATTTCTGGCAAATGCCAGAGATATTAAATGATATATAAACAAAAATACCATATTGGTATGCATTTTTAGACCAGGCTTGATGATTTTACTCCATTTGCCTTTCATTTTTCTCCTAGATTCTGTGATGGTGAATTTGAATTCAAATGAATTTTCAGATTGTTGGATCGGCACCTGGGTTCCCACATGGGATCATTGACCCTATTGAGGTACGTGACACTGAATTTTGGTTATATGAAGATCTGTAATTCTCATTGGTTCTTGCTTATCACTTTGAAATTTGTAGGAGCTTGCCGAACTAGCTTTTGGCTCTAGGGTTGTTTCCATGTTGACCTTTGTCTTAGAGGTTTTGTATTGCCTTTCGCTCGTAAACTTGGGTGTGTCTGGTTTGATTTTTTCATTGACTAGTAAGGTGTTGCTTTGTGATGAAACTATATTGTGGCTATTTTTTATTTCAAGGCATTTTTGCTTATTGTTTTGCAGTTTCTCTTAATATTATGCTACAGGATTTGTGCTATTGTTGTATTCCCACCTTAATGTCTTCTAAGTTTGTTTGCAACTATGCATCGCTATAGATATTCTATTTTACCTATTTGTTCTGTCGGGGGAGTTTGTGTTTTTTGGTTGTTACATGTCAATGAGAGTTGGAATTACTTGTCGTGTCATCAAGTTAGAGTGAAGTGGTAGACATTTAATCTTCCATTATGGGAGTTGCAGAAATAGCACTTTACATGTGTATTATCCCGAAGTTGAATCAATTTTTTTGTTTGATAAGTTAAAGCTGAAGTATGTTGAATTGAAAAGTTTTATGCTAATTATAAGTGGGCAGCATACCAGTTAAAAGATTAGATTTTTCTCATGAACTTTCTTTTCTGAAGTACCTTTTTAAAGAGGAATGCTGCTTCTTTGTTATCCACAATTAAGATGAGCCATTGAATATGAGTACCAGATAGCCCATCTTGCTATTGTTAGTTATAGTCAATGGTATCCGTCTAAAGATAGTAGTTTTAACCAACATGTTCCCCATCTTGTTGGTTATTGGGCAATTCTTGTAAAATTCTATAAAAATTCACAAGAGCCTCTTGCCATCTCCTACATAGGTAGAACTAATTGCTCTTTTCAGATTTGACATTATGACTCGGGCACAAGTTTTCAGTAAAAACTGCTTTTGATACCTAATAACTGTTCGCAATACCAAAGTTTTAAAAGGCTTGACTTGGGCACAAAACTCTTTTATTGTGAGTGTCTACCCTTATGAAATTTTCAGTAGGGTTTGACTTCTAGTGTAAAATTGCTAGAGAAGAGAGCTTCTTTATTACAATCTAAGAGGAGTATTTAGGCAAGGTTCCCTGTTCTTAAACTGAGTAAATAAAAAATGAGTTTCTTAATTAGGTGAATGATCTTTGTATATTTAAAAAGTTTAGAATGTGACAATGTGAACTGGTGTAATCTTCTAATGATTATCTTGTTCTGCAAGTCCTTGAAAAATATGTGAAGAGTTGGATATCAATTACTACGCCATTTCAGGATAAGTGATGACATACCAGTTGACAAGGATACTAGCTTTGAGATTGCAACTTGATATGTCAATTTTTGGAAACTTTGAATTTGGAAACTTTTTAAAAGCATTTTGAAAATTTTGAGTTTGGAAACTTTGAATATACTCAGAGCTATATACTCATTATGATTTGGGAATAGAGTGTCTTTGATGTGTGGATGCCAAATTTTTTCTTTCTCTTTTTATGATTGGATGACATTGAATTTTTGTGCATTTTTTGCTATCCCAACTTTGAATTTTTAGCGACGAAAATCTGTTGCCGATAAAGTTATTTGTCTTTTAGCGACTAAATATCATTGTCGTTAAAAATGTCATTATTTTGTTTTCTGCTATTAAATTGGGACATTTTGTGATGAAGTATTAGTGACCAAATATTTAGTCTTGTAAAATCAAACATTTTATGACAATAAAAAATTGGTCGCTAATTGTCATTTTCAGCGATATTTTTAAAAATTTGTCGCTAAAGACTTTTCTAGATGCACTTTTAGTGACTTTCTTAGTGACGAATTTAATTTTGTCACAAACCATTTAGAGACAAAAATAATTGTTCACCAAACATCTTATATGTTGTAGTGACTTGTGAGCTGATAGATTGGTTGGTAGAATTTGTTCGTTTTCTAGTTATTGTGAGTTAGTAATATGTTATATTATAGGGCAAATTACATATACTCCTTCGAGGTTTGGTTAAATTATAAATACTCCCTGAGGTTTGAGAAATTACAAATTCTCCCATGAATGCTATATTTGCATAACAAATTAGGGGGTAATTTGTTATGAAATTTAAACCTCAGGGGGCAAATTGTTATGAAAATACAAACCTTAAGGGTCAGGATGTAATTTCCTAAACTTCAGGGGGTATTTGTAATTTAGTCAAACCTCAAGGGACGTATATGTAATTTGCCCATTATTATATAAATATTTCTCATAATGAAATTAAGAAAAAAAAAAAAAATCGATATTTGTCCAATTCTCTAAGGACCTGGTTGATGGGTTGGATTACGGTAAAATTTGAAATATTAATCTATATGATTCACATTCCATTATGGAAAAAGCCTCCGACCTCCAGTGGGGTACTGGGGTCGCGTGTGATTGGTGTAAAAAAAAAATTTGTTATTTTTTTTTTTTTTTTCAGCCAATGGGGAGGCGACACCTCACTGGAGGTTGTCAGTGGGGGTCGCCCCACTGGGGGTCGGTAGCACGGCTCTTCCATTATTTAGTTACAATTTTTGTTATCCAAATTAAATTTTGATGGACATTTATTCAACAAAATTAGCTAAATTTTTGACCTTACAAGTAATAATATAAAAACAAACATATAACTGAAATTATATATTTTTATAATCATTGGAAAATAAACATAAATAAGAGTGAATTATTTTTCTTACTAATTCAGTTGGATATTAAATTCTACATTAATCTCATAAATTATAATTCTCTCACTATTAATCATATCAATCAAACAACACCTAAAAGTAGTATGAAAAACACCTAAAAATAGTATGAAAAAATTGTACTTTGGGTGGTATGCTTATGAAAATTAGCTGAGATATTGTATCCTATATGCTATTAAGCTAAGTTTGTATCCTATATGTTAGAAGTAGTGTGAAACCCATGGGATTGCCAATCCAGTCCCTAGCCCATGGAGTAAAACAAAGCCCATGGAGTAAAACAAACATGGGCTGAAAAAACGCTTCAATTGATTCCTTCTAAAGCCGAGTATTATTATTGTTGTTGTTGATTTTTTTTTTTTTTAATGTTAAAAAAATATGTTGGTATAACTAACACGTGACAATCACTACAAGAAATTAAGGTTTTAGATACTAAAATTTAGGGACAAAATTATTTTTTAGGGATTAAATATTTTTGTTATGAAAAGTGTCATTTTTATATTTTTAGCAACGAAAATTAGACATTAGTGATGAATTATTATTCTTTTGGGACTAAATTTTTTGTTTAAAAAAATAAACTATTTTGAGGATAAATTATTTTGTCTTTAAAAATCTATTTATTAGTGATATTTTCAAAATTTTGTCCCTAAAAGCCTGGTTTTTGACTTTTTGAGACGACCTTTTAGCGACTATTCTCATGATGATGACAATTGGTCCTTAAATGTTTTTTGTAACAAAATTTTTACTTTTAGAGACCAAAACATTTGGTCTCTAAAACTCTTATATATTGTAGTGAATGTTGCATGAATGTGATTATAGAAGTCTCGGACAGAAACCAAGATTTTATTCCAAGAAAGCAATACATTTAGTGTCAAGTATAAATAATCAGAAATCAAGATTTTAAGATTAAAAAAAAAAAAATAGGTAAAAGTGAAAGACACAAAAAGAAACGTAATGAGCCTTTGCTTCATTATTGGCCAAAGGATGTATATAGGATGTTTAATTAAAATAAAATGGTCTTTGTGATTTCATTAATATCATGAGGGAAATGCCAAGATTTTATTCCAAGAAAGCAATATATTTAGTGTCAAGTATAAATAATCAGAAATCAAGATTTTAAGATTAAAAAAAAAAAAAATAGTAAAAGTGAAAGACACAAAAAGAAACGTAATGAGCCTTTGCTTCATTATTGGCCAAAGGATGTATATAGGATGTTTAATTAAAATAAAATGGTCTTTGTGATTTCATTAATATCATGAGGGAAATGTTATATCTACCATCCTTGTTTTTACTAAATCTATCAATTTTAATTAAACTAGAACGCTATTTACTAAGAAAAATATAATGTAGTTATAAAATTTTAAAACCACGTTAGTATGTAAAATAAATTTATAAATTTTATCTATTTGTATAACATTAATCTGCGAAAAATATCAATGCCATTCAGCTTACAAAGGAATTTATTCAAGTTGAAGGATATCTATTTCCATTCATCAAAATATACATTTTTTTATTATTTTAAATCTGAAAAGATCCTACAAATGTCGTCCAAAACGCGAGCCGCCTAATTTTAGTTTGATCTTTCAAGCACAAATAATAGCTCAAAAGAAAAAGGAAATGACAAAAATAAATATGAGATGGACCAAAATTAGATGACGAGTTTCACTACTTGGAGTAAAATCTATTAAATTTTAAAATTCATATCACTGGCCGTAGGGCTTTCCTTATCATACGAAGGCCTACTGGTGTTATACACTCCATGAGGTATTTGGTTTTCAGAAATATTAATTCCCTGAATTACAGATTCTAGTCGTGGTTCACTAGGTGGTCTGGAAGGCATAGTAAGATAGATTCTGGAAGTTCTGAAGTAGATTGTCTAGAAGAGTCAAGAAAATCTATCCTGAAAATCCTAAGTGATTCGTGATTAGATCAAGATTAAAATATTTCAAATCCCAATTATTCAAAACACGCAATCTAAATCATCAAGCACTTACGAAAGTAATTTAGATTGTTGTTTTTCTGAATAAACAATAAATCGACATAAACGATTTTTTCGTGAAAAAAACCACAATTAAAGAACCTTCAATTGTAATAAAAAACCACGTATCCACCCAAAAAAATCAAAAATCACAGGCGAAACGCCACTAATCAATCCACTACTGAAGAAAGAAAGATTACAAAGATAACACACAAATTACCCAACTCAGTCAATTTGTCTTCGAATCTTCTGTAACTCTTTCACCACGCCTTCGTCCCGGAACTGATCAATCCTGAAGTTGAATCCACAACTTCACTTGTCGAATTAACGATTACGTACAGAATCAAACGCCTTTTGAAACTCTATGCTTAAATCTTCGGAATCCACCGAAGAATAACACTCTTGTATGTATACGAACAATCTCCTTGATATGTGCTTCTCAAATCATGAGTTGAATACTCATTCAATTTTATCAAGGAAAACTCACAAAAATCTCTAGAAGAAAACCTCAAACAAAACCCTAAAAAACCTTAAACAAGATCTAAGAGAAGTAATCCTAAAGTTGACCCAATATGCGAATATATAGAATCTGA